CCATCTCCACAATATTCATATTTTCATTAAAAATATTCGCCGTGGAATCTAATTTTTAACTTCAAAATATTGTTGTGGGGTTTAATTTAATAGCTGGTTTCCTTATTTATTCCCACAGTCTAGGCCACGCCACTGGTCGTTGTTTTCGTCGTTCATCAGCTTTCAACTTTCCAAACATGTGTGCGCGCTTTCAACTTTGAACGTTTCTGCCTCTCACCTTCTCTTGTCCCTCCTGCCTACCCATCTCCCAGTTGTTCCTCTCTGGCCTTTAAATTAATTGTACTTGTTCAAATCATCCCTGTTAAATTTGGACATGTGCAGAAAAGGCCATTGGAGGCTTCGGTAAGGAGGGTGGATCATACAAAATAGAGTCCCATAAAAAAAAAACAGAAGAAGACCAAGAAGAACGCTTAATGAGGTCATTAAACGAGACCTCCTAGTCAATAACATATCTAAGGACTGGGTTGTTAATAGAGCACTATGACATCGTGTAATTCATGTAGCCGATCCCACCTAGTGGGATAAGGCTTGTTGTTGTTGTTGGTTCAAATCATCCCAGTCATCGTCCAGATCAAGACCAGTCCCCAAACCAATATATGCATGGTCCGCTTTTGAATCCAAACAGACATATTAATCACATGATGCATTATTTAAAACAAACCGATCGGATGCTGACTTCTTCGGCCGTGGATAAACAGACATGGATAAGATTTGGGTTCATCATGCGACTGCAAACGATAATTTTGCAAAAATAATCTAAACGCCGATTTAGAAACAGAGTGGGGGAGGGAGATGAGAGGCAGAAAGCATTCACACATATACAGGGCTATTATTTTGTTGAGCGGCATAATGTGGGCGTGACGAGACGCGATGATATGGTGGGTGATATATATTGCTCTCTCCACTATTATTTGACGCCATATATACATGTGATGTGATTTGATGGGTGTCTTCCCAATTATTGTGCCACTTAATGCCCTCTATGACTCGCCAACTAACCATGTCTCCCCTCTCTATATCTCCATTCCCATTCACCAGTCACCACACACAGCCCTCCTCTCTCTCTCTCTCTCTCTCTCGCATTTATGAAAAATACCCACCCACACGCACACTTAATGTACGTAAGAAGTCGACGAAGAAAAACTCGCAACAGAACAGAGCAGTACCCGACTTTGTTGGCACACAGAAGTTGGAGCAAAGGCCTATAGGCTAGAGAACAAGGTTGCTTATTAAATTCCAGTCACCTCGCTGAACAAAAAAGGGTTGCTATATTGTTTGGGGCAGGAATATAGATGCAGTTAGGTACGCGCTGGTTTCAAAACTTCAAATTGTATACGTCCTCAAAAGGCAGTTTAGGTCCCATTCCACTTCATCTTCACGTGATTATGTCTGTGACGGCCAAAAAAAAATTATTTATGAAGTATTTCATAAATTATAAAATTATTTTTAAAATTATGATTTGATTTTTATTGAAATATTTTTTTAGGGCCTGTTTGGGTGACTTCCAAAACCATGATTTGGGAGGCAAAACCATGTTTGGGTGGAATCTCACCCGAACAATATCAATTTTGATGCCATAATCTAAAACCATGGTTTTGGAACTCAAAATTATGGTTTCAGGAAAAGCAAATCCATTCTGCTTCTGGTTCAAATTAGAGAGTATAATTGTGCCTGTCAGAGTATATCTCAACAATAATATGACTTTAACATTCATCAATTAATTTTTTATAAACATATTAATCTTATATCTTATAAATATATATACACATATTAATTATTCATTAATTATATTATCTTATGTATTATTAATTATGTTGGTAAAAAATATATTATTAACAATTTTATTCCTTCAAATTAAAATATATAATAAAATCTATCTTTTATGTAATTATCATATTAACTTATGTCTTTTTTAGTAATTTGTATATATAAAAAGTACTTCTGATAACAATTATCCAAACACTCTCACTTCTCAGAATCACTTTTTCACAAAATCTATTCTTCATAAAATTTATTCTCCCTAAAATCTATTCTCCAGAAGGTATTCTTTAAACCATAATTTGATTTTATCCAAACACACTCTTAGTATAGTCACCAACACTGTGATAAGACCAAAAGGCACTATCATATATAGAGTTTAAAATAATGCATGTTTAAAGGCACATAAATGAGAGCCTAAGGACACAGTCCGGTGGTATGCTTTTGGAGTGAGAGACATGAGCCCTGTTTCTCCCGCATACTCCCCACCCAATCCTCGTCGGATCACTTAAAAACAAATCTTCCCCTCATTTAAACTCACACTGATGCGATGTGCGTCGCTGAGCTCCGACATTTCTTGTTTACCTCGACTTTTAGCCCTTCTAATAATCATTCACTTTGTAACGACTCGGACAATTATTGAGCCGATCAGCCATACTGTTTCTAAAAGTTTGCTAACAAGCAACGACCTTTGATCAATTTGAGGCAGGTTGTTACGTGAGAGGGCTAGTTAAACCAGGTCTATTATTGAAACGGAGGTGGCTGTATAGAGCTGTGTGTGGGTAATATAGTGGCGTTAGATCTTCAAGAGGGTCTGCCTCCGGTGGGGCCGGTGGAAGTTTCCAACGGAGATTTCGACCATTTAATTTCCCTCGCACGCACGTGCAGTGGTGTGGTCGGTGCAGTGATAGGACATTAATGATAAGTGTCGTGTGATCTCAGATTTTGCAGGCAGTACCTCTCAGCTTTGAAAAATCGCACAAAAAGGTTACGAGGTGGTGGTGGTGTTTAATTACCGTCTGGTTTTGCGTATTTTTGAATTGCGAGGGCGTTGGTACTTTTTGTTACTTATAAGCCTGCTTTGAGAACAAAGTCACCTGCTTGCTGGCATTGATTTAAAAATACTACTCTCTGTATTTTTTTTTATGAGTAATATTTGACTTATTGATTAAAAAATTAGTTAAAAATAATAAATAAGTAAAAATTGAAAGTTATTTCTTCAAAACACCATTATTTATGAGGGAAAAAAGTATAAGAAAGAGAATAAAAAACTTATTATAATAAAAAGAATTATGAAAGAGAGAATGTGGACAGAAAGAAATGATAATTTAAAAAATAAAATAATAAATAGATTGGATATTAGTAAATTAGTCCTTTCTATTGTTTATAGGTCTGCTGGGAGAACAGAATCAACTAGTTGCTGGCATTGATTCGCAATACTGCTGGCCAACAGAACAAAACAAGTCTGTATAGTAAATTTTCAGCCCTCAGATTTGACATCTGGCAGGGTTAGTTACTTGATTCTTCCACCGTCAGACTGGCATCTTTTGAATTCACACTGATCCATTTTGTAATTCCTGGTTCGGCTTTCTGTTAGAAACAATGGATCGACGAAGTTTAGAATTGACCTTACGATGAGACCGTCACGATCGACGTGGTCTGTGTTGCGCCACCAAAACCATTCCCGTATTGAAGATAGCTGTTTCGAAACTAAAATACCGAGTTACGCGTGATTTTTTGTGATGAAACAATTACAGTATATGAATAAATACATTGATTTAAAAGATGTTTGATCAGGAAAAACAAGTTATTATGAATTTGAGGGTGGAGAAGGTGAGATGTGGGATAAAATATAAACAAATTCAGGTACGAGATGGAAAAAAAATACATGAAGTTATAAGGTAAGAAGAGGAAAAGGAACTAGGAGAGATATGCAGCTAACGCTCCATTGTCATCCCCGGAAGAATTGGATGGAGACGGTTTTCTGTTTTGGTAAGCTCAAATTTCAAATGAAGCAAATAAATTATCAACATTGATGTAAAACAGAGAACAGAGAAGGTTGCGATTTGTGGATCTTGGGATGGGCTCGGGGATGCTTGTTAGTTGGGCTTCACCCACAGTATAAGCCCAAGCCAATAACAGAGGCTGATTCGGATTAGTGTGTCCGGGGTCAAAAATTTCCAATATCAGATTTTTCATTACGAATTATGATGGGCGTCTTTTTTTCCGTAAGCAACCTCTTGCAGGACATGATTGTCACAAAATAATAAAATATGATGGTGAAGCAAACAGGCGTTCCTTAGAGTCAAGAATAAAATACACTGACAACTGATTTATTTTATTCAAATTACAAAAACTTCTCTACTATTTTGAAAATGTATATAATTTTCTCTTGAAGTCAAAATATATGCTACACAAAACTTTTTTAATATGTTTGAGATTTTATTTTCATCTATCCAATAATTAGTTAATTGTTAAGTTTGATTTTCAAACTTTTGTTTTGACCAAAACATCCCTTCTTAACATAAACAATATTTAAATATTTATCTGTTAAAAAATAATTTTTACATAACAAAAAAAATTATAATACCTGCATTTTCAAAATTTTCAATACATTTTAGAATTGTATAAATTTGATTATATCAATGGCATTATATAATTTTAATTCTTCATGACGTATTAAAACTTATTTATTCAAGTTTTTTTAAATGACTAAAAAATATTTTAAATGCATTTTTTTCATCATATAATATAATTTGTATGAGTTGGAAACATTATATAAATCAATTAAATTTTTTTAAAAAAATTTTGTTGCAAACATTTATTACTTATTTGACTATATATTTATTTAAGGAATTAATAAAATTTTCATTCAATTTTTTATGTTTACATTAACTAAATTACTTAATTTTCCATCTAATAAGATAAAAACATTGAACAAATAACTATTCACAAAAATAAAAAATAAAATTAAGATTAAAAAATCTTAAATTCTTTAAAATAGTTTTAGCCAAAATTTAAAAATTTGTATTGTATTAGTGAATTTAGTTGATGAATTTAAATGTATATTTAGAACGTATAATCAGAACAAAATATAAAGTTAATATATTTTGTTTTAGAATAAAAAAAAACGAATCGCATGATTATAACTAGTTGGTGCTGGATCATGGATGGGACAAGTATGGGAGAGCTCGTAAACCGGTAAAGAGAGTATGGTCGAGGAGCTTGCAACCCAGAAGTGTGGAGAGAAACTGATGAGTTTTAATAATATAAAATTATGTAGGATATCATTCTTTCAAACAATGAAGTGATAAACAATCAAATGGAAGCCCTAAGAGACTTGATTCCCAAAATGAAAAATACATAAATGTATAAGTATAAATAAATGCGTAAATACAAACGCCGTGTTTGACCTAACTGTAAAGATCATCATCATCAACCGCGCCAGCAGCTGCAAAAGGGTCGGCCGAGGCGGTAGCAGCACCGGCAGAGCCGCTGTCAGGGAACCTGAACTCCGTTCCGAATCCTCTGGACTGCTGTAATGTTTGGGCAAATGCCTGGTACTTGCGAATGTCAGCATCACTTACACTCCTCCGAGCATACTTCATGGATTCCTCGAAATGAGCGGCCTTAATTTCCGCCACCTCATCTTCCACATCCTCCTCCATCGCCTCTGGATTCTCACTTCTCCTCCGTTCTCTTTCAATGTCCTGCCAACAGAAATTCAAGAAAAAGAATTAGCCCAAGTCCCATCCGGCAGAATTGGCAAATAGTGCGCCGAGAAAGTTCCTCGGGAAAGTACCTTTTCAATGTTCTCTCGTATGGCATACTTGCATGCACGCTGGCAAATCTCAGTAATATCAGCACCACTAAAGCCCTGAGTATACTTGGCAAGAGCTCTAAGATCAACATCCTTTGCAACGGGGGATTTTCGCAGGCAAGATTTAAATATCTGATAGCGGGATTCCTCATCTGGGAGGGGGATATAGATCAACTGGTCTAGACGACCAGGGCGCAGAAGTGCAGGGTCTATGATGTCCGGTCGGTTGGTGGCCCCAATGATGAACACAGTTTTCTTAGCTGACATCCCATCCATTTCTGTAAGGAGTTGATTCAAAACCCTGTCAGCAGCACCCCCAGCATCTCCTACACTGCTACCTCTCTGCAAGGCAAGGCAAGTAAAAGATGTTAGGACAAAAATAAACCAAGATAGGATCATGGTAGTTGTCATGTCACGAGGTGCCCAAATTTTTCTCAGTAATGGTATTTAGGACTAAAACAAGATTTCCAAGACCAATACACTTTGTCAAATGCCTGGGGGGTCATAACTTAGTAACAGATTTGTTACAAACCTGAGTTGCAATTGAGTCAAGTTCATCAAAGAACAGGACACATGGAGCAGAACCACGGGCCTTGTCAAATATTTCCCGCACATTAGCCTCACTTTCTCCAAACCACATTGTAAGTAGCTCAGGACCTTTAACACTGATGAAGTTTGCCTGGCATTCATTGGCAATAGCTTTAGCCAAAAGCGTCTTTCCACATCCAGGAGGCCCATAGAAAAGAACCCCCTTTGATGGGGACATTCCAAACTTCTCGAATTTTTCAGGGTGTTCCACGGGATATTGAACAGTCTGCAAAGGAGAACAGCGTTAAACATAAGTGTTAAATGGAAAAAGTGGAAGTGAAGTAATATAATTCAATGCAAAATCTTCAGCTACCTCTTGGAGTTCTCTCTTAACGTTCTCAAGGCCACCAATATCATCCCAGCTGACATTGGGCACTTCAACAACCTATTGATAAGAAGAGTCCAAGTTAGACATATATAACTTCAAAAGCAAGCACAAAATAAGGCAGTCAAGGGATGGAGAATGAAGGCAAAGGAAAGGAGCCATCTTTGTGGGGGAAAAGACCAAAAAACATACTGTTTCACGGAGAGCAGAAGGGTTGCTTGATCCGAGAGCAGTCTGAAAATGTTCATTTGTCACAGCCATTGAGTTCAGTATCTCAGCATCAATTGTTTCATCTTCCAGGTCAATCACATCCATTTTCTCTCTGATGCATTGAAGGGCAGCTTCAGTACACAGAGCAGCAAGATCAGCACCAACATAGCCATGCGTATTCTTCGAAATTTTTTCCAAATCAACCTGCAGATGGCATGTCAGAGAAGCTCATTTAAGAAGATTCTAAAATGAAACCAAAACTTATGGGACAAAGAATGTCTTACATCTTCAGCAAGCTTCATATTCTTTGTGTGGATACGTAGCACCTCAAGACGGCCAACTTCATCTGGAACACCGATATCTATCTCCCGGTCAAACCTTCCAAACCTCCTAAGAGCAGGGTCAATGCTGTTCGGACGATTTGTGGCTCCAATAACAATTACATGTGCACGTGCTTTTAGCCCATCCATGAGTGTCAACAGCTGGGATACAATCCTTCTCTCAACTTCTCCATGAGTCTTCTCCCTCTTGGGAGCTATAGAATCTATCTCATCTATGAAGATGATAGATGGTGCATTCTTTTCAGCTTCCTCAAATGCCTTCCTCAGGTTGCTTTCACTCTCACCAGCCAATTTTGACATGATCTCAGGTCCATTAATGCAGAAAAAGAAGGCACCAGTTTCATTTGCAACAGCTCGGGCAATTAAAGTCTTGCCTGACCCAGGTGGCCCATACAACAAAATCCCTTTCGGTGGCTTAACACCAATGGACTTGAATAATTGTGGATGCCTCAGTGGCAATTCCACCAATTCCCTTATCTGGGCCATCTGCTTTCTTACGCCACCAACATCATCATAACCAACATCATCTAACCTATCCTCATCTTCCCTCTTCACAGGCTCTCCTTCGCAAAAGATCTCAGTGTCTGGTGCAACAACACAATACTCCGGAGGGTCAGTTTCAATAATCTTGAATTCTACACTTCTCATCCCCCCTCTGACAAGGAATAAGTCGCCCTTCCTCACTGGGCGATATGCCTCCAGAAAATAAGCTGCAAGAGTGAGGAACTGGACTAAGTATTCATAATATAACGGACCTGAACAGGCATATATGGATGCATTCCAAAAATCAAAGACTATAAGATAACAGAAGTCCAACACCATCCCATTTTGGGTGATATATGCTAGGCAACAAATATGGAAATGCCCGAGACAATGCTGTTTCCTCCTATTATGCAAAACCGTTCAAAGAAAGAATGTCGAATGTCAGAGGGAAAAAGCTATTTTTCTAATAATTTACAGTCGACCTATTTTGCAGCTTAAGTCATAAGGTTGAAGGCATGTGACATGTCATGGCCGAAAAACTGTTGTTATAAATACAATGAACTACAACTATTTTACTCAGCCGGGAGGGGCTGCAGATGAAAGAGGGAATAATTTAAGAAATATGAAACTAAAGGAATCAAATCCAGTAATGTCTAGCAAAAAGATGCAATGGTAACCTACGTTTTAAGTATGCGTCAAAGAGACTTCCGGTCACCCCTTCAATAGTGTCATCAATAGGAAGAATGTGGACTCGCTTGCCATATTTGACATCAGCACACTGATGGACAGAAACAACATCACCGAGCCTAACCCTAAGGTTGTTTCTCACAACCTTGTTCATTCTTATCTTCGCTTCATCACATGTGTCATCAGCAAGGGTTATGCAGATTGTATCTCTCCTTTTCTTTCCCTAAACATCATGATAGGAGATAAAGAAACGGATTAGCGCAAAGAAAAGAGAAAGGGGAAAAAAATTGACTTTCAACCTAGGAAGACCAGGTGAAAACAAGAACTTTAGCCTTTATTCACAACCCAGACACCTAATTCCCTAATGCGAATAGCACCCAGCAAGCTTTCGAAAAACTAGTAAGCCCGCTCAGTTGATTGCAGCCAGAATATGAACTCAAAGTAAACAAAAACGGCACATGCATTACCTTAATCAAATCGTGTCACCACGAAACATCTGTAGTTTTTCCATGGTGTCCGGGTGGAGGGCGACGACAGAATTGTCATCGTTAATGGCCTCATCAACAACCAACCGATTTGGCGCCTTCTTGCGCTCCAAAATCGCCGTGCTAAAGTCCTTCTTCGCTCCCTTACTGATATATTTGCCACCAAAAGAGGGAAAAAAAATTAGATTCTATTGAACAAAAATGAACAGGAAAATAAAATTCTATAAGAACAGAGAAACAAAAAGCAAGTGGAAGAAGGATCGGAGGGCCAAATGAAAAGGAGATCCGAAGAAACAAAGCGGAATGGAGGGCTCACGTATCAGATGATTCAGCCTTGTTAGACATGTTGGAATAAGAAAGACAGACGCGTAGACTTGTAGGAGAAGGTTTTGTTCTGGAGCGCAAGCAAGAAGGAAGTAAAGGACGGTGTGAGGGATCTGGAGGGGGTAGCTGGGAGATGGCTGATATTTATAGAGGAAGGACTCTTTACTTCCTGCCAACTTATGGAATAGAATTTTAGCGACGCAAGGATTTGACTTGTTTTTTTTTCCCCTACAAAATTTGAGATACTTTCCGATCCCCAGAGATATATTCATAAGAATACATGATAGAATATCTTCTTTTTTTTTTTTTAGCTTCGTTAAGATTATTAAGTTTTCCTATTTATAAAATTGAACAAAATATTTAAAGCATAAAGTTAAAATAAATAAGCATCTGCTGAATTCTATTGGAATCACATATCCCCTTTATATTTTATTTTAAATGTACCTTAATTCTCTTGAAAATAAAAAAACTTACGGAAAATTATCTCCAATGAGTAAATTATTTTCGAGCCAAAAAAGCATATGATTTTTTGATAAACTGTACATATATCTTGATTTATTTTAAATATAGATAAAAAATTTTAAAATTATGTCGTTCTTGATTTAATTAAAAGATTGTTTCTGGCAAAAAATTAAAATAATATCCATCTAAATCTAAATAGCTTATTAAAGAGTAGACATCATTTGATTTAATCAGAAAAAGCAAACTGGAGATCACAGCTAAAAGCTTGGCAAATTTTTTATCGCGTTATTAATATTTTAAATTTTAAATTTTAATTGTATTTGAGTTGGTCAGCACGCAGCGTTGATCACATTGCCCGACTAAATTCGACTTCTTGGATTAACGGCAGGGAAATTAAAAAAAAAATGCAGTGATTTCACATTTGTCAACTAAAACGTGCGGTAATTTTAGTCCAAATTTATCCTCTGTAGATTTAAAATGATTATCATTTGACATTTTATTATTTTTCAAATATTTATACTTTATAATTTTATATTAATTATTTTTTTACTATTTGTCGATAAAACCTTCTATCTATCCTGATTTAGTTAAGAGATTATCCATCAAGATATATAGTCTATTAAAAGCTAAATATTAAAGACGAAGACCTGTCCAATCGTTATCAGTATTCATAATTTTGAATTTCAATTATTTTTGAGCTAGTGATCACAAGTTGTTAAACTAGATTAGACTTTTATTAAATGCAGGAAAAGAAAAGGTTTAAAAAAAAAATCCGTAGTACAATGATTTCGTGTTATCAGCATACAACGTACAGTATTTTAATCTAATCCAAATTTTATCCTCCATTGATTTCAAATATTTATCACTCTATAATTTTAAGGAAGTATTCGTTAATTTTTATTATTTCACCGTTCATTAATACCTCAAATATCACAAATAGAGTATTTAAGAAAATATTTATGTTAACTAACTAGATTTTAGTAAAGTATAATTAAATTTTATCATAATTTAATCCATTCAATAACTTATCATGTATTATAAATGTATCCTTTATGTGTTTTACGAATATGCATGTCATGTGACTTCGCAAGCCCAAAAAACAATATGATTTCTCGATAAATTTTTTTTATATCTATCTTGATTCAATTAAAAGATTGTCCATCGAGTTAGCTTATTAAAAACTAGATATTAAAGAGTAAAAAAATCCATTTTTGGTCGCTTTATAAGTACTTATTTTTAATCAAGATTTTATATTATATTCAGTTGATTTAAGTAACATATTTGTCATATGAGTTTTTATTATTTTCAAATAGTTATCACTTAATAATTTCAAGAAATTATTAATTTTTTATTATTTAACGTTTCATTAATATCTCAATTATCATAAATAGTGTATTTAAGGGAATATTTATGTTAACAGTGTTTTAGTGAAATAGTATCAAATTAGCAAAATTTCTGGTATAATATAACATCATTTCATTGGCAGTTGTAACCCATAGCTTCCCTTGTATCATTTGATTTAGAAAACATCAACCGGTACATTGGGTCCCCACGATCTAAAACGTGCCGTTCCCAATCCGACCTAACCCCGAATGGATTTTCCGTGAGCCAACTACTTCGGCCATTGCATTGGTGGTCTTGTTCATGCACCAAATTAAGCTTACCTTTGCCATATCTTAAAAACTGTTCTTTCATTCTCATAGCAACCTCTTCCACGTCGGATTGCAGAAAGACCTATTCAATACCAGTAATCTGAATAAGCCCCAATCAAATATTAAGATACCCAAAATTATTCAAGGAAAAAAATAAATTGAAGCAAGCCCCAGCCCAAGGAAATACAGGTAGAGCTATATTCAGAGCACAGTTACCTTCCCGCCACACGAAAGGAGATCTGTTACGGCTTCAATTAAAGACCTCTGCAGCATCCTCCATCTATGCTCAGGCTTATTGAAGTCAGGGTTTGGACACTGAAGGTTAAAAAATGCCGCAATTGATATTAGAGATAGCTGATATGGTGAAAAGAATTGATGATGCAATAGTCACAACAAAATGGTTCATAACTTTTGCAATGGTAGAATTTACATTACAATAGAATTTATGCCTGACCTGTATTGAAACAAGAATCAACTCTCCTGGGTAGCTAGAAAGGATTGAACGAAATGTCGATGTCGCATTAGTTGCAATAAAGTGCCTAACATGGAGATACCAAGGGGAAAAAACTAACACGGTTAAACAAAATAAAAGATATCCAATATCAAGAACTCTGAAACCAGCAGTACAGAAACTAGCTGAATGGGTAGCCATCAGCAGACTATGGCGCCATCTCTTTATAAACAAGAAGACAAGTTCAATTTTTTAGACTGCAGCCAAAAACCAAACAGATACTACATCTGTTTATATAGAGAAAACAACAGTCTTACCCATTCCCGATGCCAAGCTGATGAACAGATTCCAAACAACGCCTCACAAGCTGAAGAAGTTGCATTAGTTAACCTAAGGAAGAATAGTGTGTAGAAGAGAAAAAAATGATAAAGATAGGGAACAGCAGCAGAAAAAGCGCGCAAAAAAACCTTTTCATTAATCTCCAAACCAAGGAAGTTCAAATCTTTCCTCCTTCGAGCCATTTCCAGAAGAAAGAGCCCATTACCTGTCATAGAGTTCATATATTAAAAAGATCCAACAACAGTTTTAATTATTCCACTCTATTAAACATTCTGTCTTTCTTCTCTTACAAAATCTGGGAACACTTCTACAATTTCGTAGTTAAAAAACTACAGGACCCAGAAGTAACAATAAAGTTCAAATAAACTGCTTGTTCATTTGACAATGCTTTAGAACTTAAAGGTCACTTTCCTCTCGGCAACTACTTCATAAACACATGGCAAGTATTTACATAGAAAGCAAACAATACCACTTCCTATATCAACAAATAGAGGTTGAGCTGGGTCAGCATACAAGTCGTTCCAGTTGATCTCAAACGGGTATGCCTGCAAAATGTAACCCCTCTAAGTGGTAATCATATCACTGATGCAGGATGCTTCAGCAATGAGCTGCTTATGGGTAATCAGACGCCCCAGATTGGTTAGATGTGAAGTTACAGGAGCTAACTTAACCAGGTAAGGTAATTCTTTTACTGTTCATTTGAGAATTTACATGAACAAGCTTTATGGCATTGGGCATGGGTCAACTCATACCCCAAACATATCCACAGGCCGTGCGTAAGCTGCAGGTAAGATAGTTCATTCAAATAAGACATTCCATAAAAAGTACTATTCTGATTCTCTTCTGTCCTAATTGTCAAGTCTCAGAATGTTATGATAAACCAGAGTTGTAGTAGAAACATACTCTGTCTAAGGCCATGACACCAGGGAGCTTTCTTCCTTTGAGAAATTCCCATACAACGGAGGCATTTTCAACCAGATTTATGACAGACAAGGAACTCAGCTCCTGTGTCACGACTTGGCATGCCATATTTCCTACAACAGTTATTTCACAGTTGCTACTAATTTGATCAAGCATTTTTGCCAAATTTGCAGCTCCAATTGTGTATTTACTTGAGCCAACAAATCTCATTGGACCCATCCATATGACTTTCTGCAATAGAGTGACTTTAGTTTGATTGAACAACAATAATAGTTTAAAATAAATGTCCACTAAAAATATGGAAACATATCTATCACAGTATAGCTACAGCAAATAAAATTGCAGCATGAAATGCTCATCTCATTGGATTATTTGTCTTAAAGATGTTAAAAATAATCAAACCAAGAGTAGCGTATGCCCATGGGTGAAAGTACATAGCTGAGGTACCTTAGATGTTCCAAGTAAGGAGCCAATTTCATCCAATGATGCAGGCCCAAGGTCTACAGGTACCCAACCTAGAAAGGAATCAAATTTGGATTAATTTTATTTTGTGATTCAAAGAAAAATGACTGCTTTAATATTCAAACAGCAGAGCCTCATTGTCACTTTCAAAATAGAGATGCAGACAAATGAATTGAAGCTGCTCACCTATCACGTTATAGTTTCTCTACGATTCAACAACTGATGAAAGACTATTATAAATACTTGAAGAGACTACAAAAAGTATAAAGAACTTTATATGCTCAAAGATTTGAACACTTAGTACTTACTAATTTCAATTAGTTTTCGGGAAAAAACACTGAAAAATATTATAATAGATGTCAGAAAGATGCTACTGCTGTTATCATAGTTTAATCCTCAGAATGCATTGCAAATCATTAAGGAGCCTTGTCATCGATTTAGGTTTAGGAAGATAACAAACAACTTTTTTAATTATGATATAATTCTTTGCAGTCGGAATTTGGCAAACTATTGAATTGATAATCATGCTTGTGCAATAATAATTGCACTAGCAAGCATCCCAAGTGGACAACCAATGCTTACTGGGACAGCACGGTTTTGGTAGTTTGGTTGCTATTGTCTCTCAAAAGTATCAGTAATTTCTAAACGGTGAAATTGTTGTAGAAAATATGCCCACACTCTATTTCAAAAAACAAAGCGTGAGAGGGCTTTGAAAGCTCACCATCCAAAATGCTGTGAGCAGGGAATACTTGCAGTTGCTTTGGATTGCTTTCATTTCTGCACGAAAAGTCTTTTGGACACAGAATCTGCATATTTCTTTCTCGAGCAAGTTGAACAATATGTAGAGCTTCATTACACGCCTTAAGCTCCACCAGATCAAGAGGAACTGAGACTCCCAATGCATGCATTATTTGAAATGAAATCATTCCAACAAACACCAACGCCTGGCATCTGGATGTTAAAAATCGCAAAGCAGCTGCTTTATTGTGGAAATCACTACCTCCTATCTGGATTTATGAGAAAGAAGAGACTAATATCATCAATATGAACTTTAAATCATTGTATGGTGTTGATAAGTCTAATGACTAATTCTGTCACAGCAGAAGAGACATACAATTGCAACATAGGGTTTCTTGGTGGCATCTGTAACCTTCTTCAGTTGATATAAGCTTTCCTCAAAGTGAAAACCAGCCATACAGGCATAGCAGAAGCGAGTCACGCCAACTGTTGATGCTAGAACTTTATGAGAGTGAGAGAAGGAATCATTAACAAAGATATCAACTCCTGATGACAGTTCTTTAGCAAACTCCAAACAATTGGAAACTTCCTCTTTAAATTTAGAAAGATTCTCAGCAAGAAGGATATCTGGTTTCTCGGTGCCTTCAATCTTCGATAGCTTATTACACGATATCTTTTGCAGTGGAACAATTTGTATCTGAAGAACTTCTGACAAGAAATCTGAAGTATAGAAATCATCATCAATTATCTACTATGGAAGTTCCTTCTTTATAAAAGAAACCATTTCTTATTTCCAACACCCATGTTAATAATTTACTGATTTTCTTCCATCTTACTTTTCATTAGATAAAGGAGGATTGTTTAATTATTTATTAAATAGCCTAACTCCATTCTGGCAACTAAAATAAGGGTAGAATGTAATTATGTACCAGCAACGGACTCTGTACGAGAAAGTTCTGAATCAGTATCCCAATCACTGACCAGAATTACTTTTGCCCCAGCTTCATGTAAATACTTAATTGTTTGCAACGCATTAGAAACTGATGGAGTCGGTTGTTCGTGCTGCTTGATGAAAATGTTAGAGTCAAATCTGACCATGACAACTTTTGCAGAGAGTTCTTCCTTGGGAAATTCTCTAAGAGCTTGTACATGAGGAAAGGCATTCAACTCCCCACCGTTATGAGTGTAAATCTGACAGCAAAAACATAAAATGCTTATGTCAAAAGAAAAGGAAAATCTAGAGCCAAAAAGTAAAACATTCATTCATGAAACAAAGTCACGAAGAAAGAAGTCAACATTCTTCAGCATCACAAATATTCAAAATAACTACAAACTATGCAATCAGGGACGTAAGATATTAGTCTGAATGATGCTTTACTTTCACAATCTAATAGGAAAAAGAGCATATATTTCGACTTTTGTGCCAATGACCATTAATTTCAATTGCATTCTCTTCTGGATACATTAGGATAATGATAGATCACGTTAAGGAGTGCATAAATGCCCAAATCTCATCTAAACTTAAAAGAAATGGCTATAGTTGCCACAATGCCACTCATAAGTTCTTAATTCCCATTATTTTGCTTCTGATAGTTTCAACTTTAAACAATCAAATAACTATAGATGTTAAGTAAATAGGCTAAAAGCATAATAAATCCTCAATCATTTTGTTCCTTTATAAATTAAAAAAAAAATGATCATGTAATCATTCTAGCTCGAGGATAACTTGGAACTTCAGGCAGAATGTCTTTCGAGATTAAGAGAAGTCTGGATAGTTCAGATTAGCAGGTAGGATTAGAAAGACAAGATAGGAATTTATAGCCCAACCTTTCGAAACGTCAGAACACAATGCTGGAGCACAAAAGGGAGGAAGAGAGTACATTACCCTGTGGTTAATAGAACTCTTGGCATGACCTGCTAACTCCCCGCTAACTGTCACAAATAAACATCACATAATACCCAAAAAAAAAAAAAGAGATGACAACAGAGAGGTCATTCAAAAGGAAAGAGGGGGAAAAAAAAAAAACTCACTTTTTATAGAATAACCTTGTAAAGCCAGTAGAGCGCCATTGCGCATGCGAAACTTGGCAAGTTTTCCAGTGTAAGAACATCTCTTATGTTGGAGCCACTCGGGGCCGTCATGGATGCTTAATTTGTCCAAAGAGACTGTTCCATGGAGTATATTCAGAATATAGCCCATAAAGCTCCGAATATCGTCTTGCAAGCTTCACGAGCTTTAAGGATACCCCCCTAACGAAATGAAAGTATGGTAGAGACGCTGAGGGTTGCCAACAATATTATTAACAGCCAAAATGAATATCGGGTAGCGGGCAGTCACGTGTCTACTTTCCTTCTTCTCTGCGTTTTCCGAATATCAGGAAAAATGTAGCAGGAGATTCAACTCGCCTCTTCACCGGGAGTTCTGCACTTGATGCCTCCTTCCACCGCACTGGTGCCAAAGACACCGCGGAAGACCACGCGCGGTGAGGAAACGACTGTCGCTTAAATAAAGCAAGGTGAGATTTTTAATTGTCAATATATTACAAGAATAATGATCATTCTTCCTTGTCTGTATAGTACAAGATTTCACCAAAAATAAATTATTTTCATTGCTTTTATGACCTTCTTTTAATCAAACTTTTATGGCATTATTTACCCACAAGCACAAAATAGCAGGCATACAGATTATTACATGTTCATATCTAATTTTATAGATTATAGATATCACCAAATAAAAGTAATAACAGCCCAGCATAAATAAGGTAGCAAGTAACGACTGTATGTTGTGGCCTAATAACAGTTATTTATTCATTGAGCGCGCAAAAGAGGAACACAAATTTATTGAATAAATTTCGTTTAAAAAAATATTTTGAATCTAGATCCACTATTCATCAAGGTCAAACAAAAAGTCTAGATCCCCCATTTATCCGAATTTTTAATGAGAAAATGACAAAAAAATTGAAAATTTATAAATATCAAATAAAAAATGGTAACAAAAATTATTATTATTTACAAATTCAGTGTTATCAACGTCAAATAAAATGTTATTACTAAACCTGTTTTAAGATTTAATAATTTTCAGTTTTTTTTTATATCATTCTTCCATTTTTAATTGGTTTTTTTAGATATTTAATTTTGAATAAGAAATGACAAACGCATGACCGAATCGGGAGTAAAATTGAAATTGGCAGTTACACGGTGCTAGTGCTGCGAATTGGCGCTTGCTTAGGGCTTCAGTTGCAAATCGGCGAAGACAGTCCCTGCTTCTTCGACGGTCTGCGACCCGCGATTCACCAATCTCTAAATTGGCGAACTCTCTGTAATCTTCACCGTGTGAAGCACCGAAGGATCTTCTGAAATTATGGGCTTAGGTTTCGCTATCGGCGTCTTCGGGTTGCTTATTCTATTTCACGCTGCTTATGCCACAATCCAATGTATGCTTTAGGACACGTGGTTTTATCTAGTTAGGCAATTAGTCATTCTTATATATGCGCTTTGCTTTTTGTAAATTTCAATGGGTTGGTAAAAATATTGGGATTTGCGCATGCATATGTGATTTGGGTTTGATTTTACAGATAGGGGTTTGTTGAAGATTACGGAGGAAGAGTTTTCCGGACCCCCAATGAATGTGAGTGTTTTCCCATGATATTGCTTTAAGAACATGGTTTTGATGGATGTCCGCGGGTTCTCATTGTCCATGCATCTGGAATTTTGAATGCATGCAGGTGGTTGTTGAGTTGTTGCTGGGACTAGTGCTCTGTATGTGGGCTGCACTGGCTGTGCCGGGGAAGTTTCTGTCTATCCATCCAGACTCCGAAGAGAACAGGTAACTCCTTGATTCTCTATCTGGATGATAGATCTACTTAAATTTATCATTTTAGTTAAATTAATTACCTCATCTTACTGATAAAACGTTAGCAAGAGGTCATTGTAAACGTGGCCTGACATTGGGAATGATTCCGTGTTGATTTCTGAGGCTTGAGCTATAAACTTGACGTAAATTGCTCTTGTTCCGTACTGTTCGTGCTCTTTTATGATCGGTCTTCCTTGATTAACTTATGTTGCTAGTCATTCTGTATTAGGCTTTACTTGGCTGAGAAGGATCAAACCATTAAAGGAGTGGGAATAGAAACACATCAAAGTTAGTAGGAATGACAATAGAGGTCAATTAAACTGAAAAATCTAACTTCAAATAGTGATATATTTAAGTTTTGTTATAGATTGTGAAGCTGAGTTGCTCTTATTCTACACTACTCTTATAACCATTGTCTTGCTCTGTTAGTCCCTTGTTACTGTCGCTTTAATTCATCAATGGTTGATGCAAGTGACCGATGATGTGATGCTATATATGAGGGAGTGCATAATTACTTCAACACCTCTATCTGTTGTCAAAGGAATGTTCTGTTTGGAAAACTTGTTGCTTTCCTTAGTTGTGCTCTACTGACGATATCTTTTTCTTTATGACTGCTGGGATCATAATCATTAGAGCATCTGTCTTCTTGGATGCATGTTTGTTCCTTCTCCTCTTCATTTCTATACGATTGTCCGTTGCCAAAGGAATGTTCTGTTTGGATCAAACTTGTTTTCTGTTGTGTTGTACTCATACTTACGTGACAGAACTTCATGGTATAATATTTTTTTGAATCTGCTGGCATCATTTTTGGCCATGAAATTACTTGGATCATAATCATTAGCGCAAGAGTGTTTATCGGATGCAGGATTGTTTCTTTACCTGCCAACCTGGATTTCATGATCTTCAACCATAGAGGGAAGGTATTTCCTATGGACATGGATGTGAAGCTGAGGCATTGAAGAATTTTGGACCAAGCAAGAACCTTCATCTTGTCATATGAAGAAGAAAAACCTCGTTTACACTTTCAAAACATTTGGTTGTGCGTTGGGAAATCTTCCTATGTCACTCGCTATTTATCACTGACTTGAGAGATTTTGCAGTTTTCATTGTAGCTTCAAGCTAAAATTTCTGCACTGCGCACTCATCGTTGTTATTGTGACACAATTATTTGAACTGTTCATGAAAATTTAGCCTGCATTTTAACCATACACGATTTAATGAAGTGGACTAAGTTTATTATGTGATTGTCTGAAAAGAAATCAACTGGCCCACCTATCTGGAGGCAACACTGCGTGTCCTTTGTGTGGTTCAAACAAAGGTTTCATTACTTCCTCTCCGCGGCGTCTGCCTGCGTTATATACTCTGACTTTTTTCGATGGTTTACTTGGCATTCAATGGCTTTTAAACGGCATGCTTCCATTGACTTCCTACTGGTCTATGGAGTTCTGGAAACCAAAATGAGAACAGTTAGCGGAAGCAAGCTTGTCAACGTTCTGAAAAGTTGCTTGGAATATTTCCAAACAATTAAATCAAAAGAGTAAATATTTCTTAATTTCTTCAGGTCCCTCGCGATGGGGTTAATGATTTCTTGTGATGGGGGTTTCAAGTATCACTTTGGATGAGGCGACGAAACTGTGCCTCCCTCCATCGTGCCTCTCACATAAAGACTGGTCAAACGTTGTGAAGATGCCTAATAACGGCCCGAGGGTGTGGTGGGAACCTTTTGTCCTTTCTTAGCCTTGTAGTTACCAACCAGTCTGTAATTTTATTTTAATGAAAAAGGATAAAAAGTAAAGACAATGGGGTTTTTTTTTGCCACCAAAGCGATTGTTTGAAATTACGATTGAGATTCCCAATAACCCTCTTTGATGCATTTCAAAGCAATTTTTCTTACATACCTGTCTTTGGTAAATTGTGATTAAAAAATTGTTTTCAAAAAATTTTACCGCCATTTCAAATAAACCTGAAATTGATTCGGTGAAATGATGTAACAAAACTTACTTTCAATCAATGTTTGATATGATCCAATGATAATCAATTTTTCGGTCGGTAAAAATGATCATTTTTATCTTTATACTTAAATTTAACTTAACAAATTGGCTCTTCATGTTCACGAAGAGATAAATTCATCCTGAGCTGAATTCGCCACTTCAATAACAAAAATAACGAGTAATAAATTAACCGAATTACGACACTGCGAAGTTTTGTGGCGGGGAAAAGAACGACTTGGACGAACTACGAAGCCGAGCCCTGCCAATGCGCGATGATTATCCTCGGATCACTGCAAGCGTGGCTCTAGTGGCGAAGGAAAATGATCGCGAATCTTCATTTACCTTCCTCTCTATCTCTCACTATCCCCTCGCCAACGAAGTCGCGTACTGTTCGGACGTTATCCAAGACGGTGTCGTCTCGTCTCTCTCTCCGACCTTCTGTATTACCAATATCAGCCGGCCCCAGGGGATGCATTGCCGAAATTCATTCGAAATCTTTAAATTTTGTGCTGTCAGGAGCCCTCGCACTCGGATTATTTCTCGGAGGTAAACTTTTTGTTTCTTTACTCCACATTCAGTTATGTGATTTCGTGCAGTTATCTGTCTCGCATTTTTTAACTCGGTCTGTCAATTGATTTCCCTCCTTTGATACTGAATAAATTGTAAAACTCAAATATAAAAAATGTAAATTTGGTAGGAATTGGACTGGCTGAGGCAAAAGTTGGCGTGAACAAGCCAGAGTTGCTCCCTAAGGAGTTTAGTACTGTCATTGATGTTGCCGGCTTCCTCTCTGATGGCCAGGTATGGCATGCCCCCATTAGAAGCTCGGTACTCTTACACATATTTTAAGCTCAGGATTTGGAGTCTGTTTCGTCTATTGTGTCCATATCTGGTTTTCCCCCCTTGCTTTTGAGAAAATCAAAATGAACCTATAAGGAATGATGCTTCCATGAAATAGATAAGCAGTAGTGTTATTCGTTTTTTTCATAGGAAAAGAGACTGGCTCAAGAGATAGCTTCTCTTGAAAAGGATACAGGATTCAAGTTGAGAGTTTTGGCTCAAAACTACCCTGAAACACCAGGTACTGTGAGGTCATCACAAATTTTGCCTTATAGAACTTGGTGCATTAGAATTCACCCCCCCCCCCAAAACCCCAAAAAAAAAAAAAAAGATTCTGCGATTACTTAATTGCAGAACCAAGCTTGATAGTGAAACCGCCCATTTATTTTAATGCACAGGCTTGGCAATTAAAGACTTTTGGCAGGTGGATGACAGAACTATTGTCTTTGTGGCTGATCCCACATTTGGTAAAAGATCAAACACACTTGTTTTATTGTCATGGTTGCTCGTTCTTTCTGGTTATTCTTTTCCTCTTCTTTTGGGTATATCTACCTTCACAAGTACTACTATTATAATGAGACCCTTGTTTGCCAGGGAATATATTGAATTTCAATGTTGGCGCTACAGTAGATTTGGACATCCCTCGTAGTTTTTGGAGCCGCTTAGCTGGCACGTATGGCAACATCTTCTATTGGAAAGAGAAGGTGAATTCTTTTTCTCAATAAAACTATGTTATCATTACGTAATTAAAGAGTGTTGTTGAGCTCCCCAGTTCTTGGCGCTTTTTTTATTCGAACATTGAAACAGGGAGAGGATGCATCCATTGAAGCAGCTGTGGCGGCAATTTCTAGTTGCTTGAGAGAGCCAGTGGGGCCAAATAATTGCTCAGAGGTGAAATAATTCTACCATGGACTAACGAGGAAGCATTCTCTGCCAATTTGATGCGTCAAGACAAGACTTTTTGGCCAGCATGTTGCCCTTCCTAGGTTGGGCAGCTATGACTTATAAGTTAAAACTACGAGAGGAAATTTGCATTATGTTTTATTCACATTGAGCATAATGAAATTATGTATCTACTGGTTAATACGTATGGAGTCATGGAAAGTCTTTTTGTTGCACAAATATGAGAGATATCCTGACGGACTGAGAATCAAATGGCCTGTTATGCAGTCTATGTGCCTAGTTAAGTTTTATTGGTGGAACAGAGCTGTAGACGGAAAGTCATATTGAATTTTATCTTCTAGAAAAGCGTTCACTGGTGAGTATTTGGACGAAGGCCTTGGACTTTGGAGTTCTTTTTTTCCCCCTTGACAAACAGGCCTCGGAGTTCAGAGGAAGCTAGATTGTTGAATTTGAGATTTTGAGCCCTTAGGCGAGCATATGTTTGATATAGTGCGTTGAGGTGCAATTTTATCTTGATCTAATTTCTCTCCTGTCCATTATCAAAAATCACGGAGGGAAGGTTCCTGGGACCAAAGGTGCTAGTATTGGCAAAACATACTGTACGAATTGCTTTGTTTTAACTTGAAATCTTAAATATTAGCTGCACAACACGCACAATGCACGTTAGGAAGAAAGCTAGTGAGGGATGTGTGTGTAGGCAGTAGATCTGTGGCAATGGCGGACCCCGGCCAGCCTGGGCACCATCTGACTAGGAAAGGACCAGTTTTGCACACGCTTTAATTGCAACACATGAACAGTGAGCCTATACTTGCCATTCCGGCTAGATATTAATTGGTAATCAGCTGGATAGCAGGTGATCATAACTCGTCTAACATGTTTATCGCAACATTGCAGCAGGCATGCCTGCATTATCTGCGGAAATGAACCAGTTTCTGCTTATTGGTGCAGCTTTTGTGCGCAGGTTAACTAGTTAGCTAGCCCCGAAACGTTATCCACCTTATTTTAGGTCAACCATTGTTATGCCATCAGCATCAGATTTTCCCCCTCCCCCCCCCCCCCACGTATGAAATATAATATCCACACGCTCATAATATGTGCCCAGTCATGTTAATGCTTGAGGAGCCGGTCCATGTCTTTGTTAAAAACTCTGTTGAGTTGGGAGATTGAAAACAAGTTGCTCCAAAATCTCAAACGGGCTCTTAGAAATTGTGTATACAATAATTCCTTTACGTGTTTAATTAATCACAAGGAGGTGAGGAGATGATAAACTGTTCAAAGAATGAGTGAGCCAGCTACAAATAATGTTCATGATACTGGAGAAGACTTAAACTGAGAAATTACTAATGAGTGAAACTTTTTTAAGATACTCAGCCTTCCGATTGTCTAGAATCTCCTGTAGTTCTCCAGGAAGGCAGGGAACTGTGAGAGCTCCCTTCTGGCTGAAACCATACTCTTCGCCAGCTCGATCCAGCAGTCCCATGAATACAGGATCGGTCAAGTATTCCAATTCAACAACGAATCTTCTTGTCTCTTCACCCATGATTGCAAGAACAGCAAAATGTCCTTCCTTAACATCATCTGGCACTATAGTCGCAGCTTCGAGCTGATCTTCACTCGAGTGGCTGAGTGTTGATCTTCTGGGTGTAAGAGTGAGAGACCCTTCTGTATCTTGCCAACGAAAGATCCAAGCATCTCCAAAACAAGTATTTTAATCTCTTCTTACTGATATGATATTAATTTAAACTTGAGATTCTCAGAACTTGCGATGTCTATTGCAGGCTATGGCTATTTATACAGGTAAAGTGGAGGAAGCCATGAAATTTCCTGAAACCAAGCCAGTCTGTGGAGTGGAGCCATGTGTAGGGCGTATGGGTATGCATAGCATTCAATGACGCTTGACGAGTCAGTCTCTCTCTTAAAACGCTGAGCAGATCTGACCATCGACTTTTAGAGGGAGAGCCTATAATTTGTTGTCCTTGTCTCGCTGTTCAGTTGATTCAATCCATTCGGTTTTCGGAAAAAATTGACGGTTGATACGGCAAGATTTTTTTTCCCCTCAAGACCCGGTCGCCCTTTGCTAATATTATTTATTGATCTTACAGCACTTTCTGACAATAAGCATATTTTAGATGTTGTCGGATGGAAGTTTCTGAAACGCGAAAGAAGTTAAAGAACTTCACAATAGATTGCAATGTGTGTTTAAGGGCTGATGATTTCTTGTCTGTTGGGGGCTATTCCATTTAAGGTGAAGATTCCTTTTTAGGGGTAAACGATGACGGCGGAGCCCAAATTACTAACACGTGAACGTTTGGCACCGTTGTTGGTAAGAAGTTTGTGTAGGAACCAAGAATTCAGCTTAGGTGTTCGAAGGGAGCATACCTTTCCCGTGATATTCGCGGAGAATTCAAATATAATAATAAAGCGAGATGATCTACATCATAATGTCAACCTTAGATCAATTATGGTTGAGTGCTAGAATAACCAATTGATGTGATCAACTGGACTCATCATACATTGTACTAGCAGGATACATGCACGTACCTTAGCCGCCTAGAACCATATTGTGCCCCGGCTGCTGTTTTGTCACTCTAAAAGAGGTCCCTTTTTTTCTTGGGTTTTGGGAGAGGTGGGTCATGAGTTACTATCATCATTAACTGAACAGTCCAGAATTCGAAGTTCAACTTCGACCATCAATCAAAAAAGGTAGTGCATTATACACAGCACATTCGATACTCGGGAGGAAAATGAAGGCCCAAGTTACATTGGGCTTTAGCCCATATGAAACTAGAAGAAGAGGGTCTCGGGACGTCGGGTCTGGCTTGACGCTAGTCTGAATGAGACGGAAATGGGGGAGAAGAGATTCTTGTTAAGACTGTTCATATCGGTGAAGCACATAACGGCAAACGTCATGGACGAGAGCAACGGTAGAATAGTGGCGACGGCATCGACGGTGGAGCACGCGATCAAGGACGCTTTTGACCCCAGGGCGTCGGCTTCGGCGATCGGAGAGGTGCTGGCGATGCGGCTGAAGGCGGAAGGGCTAGGAAGTGGGGCCCGCATCGACGCTGCGAAGGAGATCGAGAATAAGGAGCTCCACACCTGTCCCAAGGCACGGGCCATCGTTAACGCCATGAGGAGCCGGGGGCTCCACATTGTTCTTCCCCATCACGATGGCTCCTCGCCTTAGATCTTATTTTGGGCTTTATCTTTGGGCCTGCCACTGTGATTTGGGCTTTTCTGATCATTTCAACCCAGGTACAGACTTGACAGGTTTTGTCTAATCTTGTTATGGATCTAAACAAAGCCCATTACTTGCTAGTCTGCTCTAACAATGATTTCCTTTCCCTTTATGCTTTATTGTGATTCATCTCAAAGTCAAATTTGATATTTTTATGTTATAATTACACACTTTTGACCATAAGATTGTTTAAACCCGAAGCCTGCGTTTCTGAACTGCCCCAGGTTTTATTCATCCCGTCTTACTCTTTCCCCGCAGCTAATTAAGGTCGTTGTGCTCAGGCTAATGAGCGTTGAAACCGTGAGAAAGTAATGGGAATGGATACTACTAACCATATTTCTCACTATCCATGGAAGAAAGTAAATTACTTTGAAGTGATGGAGCTACGTAACTCAACGTTTGAAAGTTAAATGACCGTCTTGCGCTGCCGCCTCCCACAGATTCAACCAGACGTCACGGGGAGTTTGGTGAAATATACCCGTATGTATGTTAGTCAAAATACTGAACATTAGGGGTCCCCTGTTTCCTAGCCTTATCCAACATGCCCTATGTTTAGTCTTCAAATATGTAAGCCGTCGTTGGCGATTTTCTTGTTCAAAAACGAGAATTCGACAGTCAAACGAGCAGCCTACCATTAATGGAATGGAGGTTGAATATTTGGAGCCCCGAGTTAAACTAAAACGTTGAATATGAGTGGATCGCACGTGGGTCTTGAAGCTAGCCGCGTGCTGCTATGATCTTTCTCAACATTCCCACCTTTTGACCTTTATCCGCAAGGTTTCCCATTTTCACAGCACAAAAACTAGCTGGCGCTCATTGATTTGTCTCGCGACTAACTAGGCACGAACAAAACCAAACCACTCACAACACAACCGCTTCCTTCCCCGTACCGTCGCACAAAAATTAAATCCCACATTACTCTTATGTATGAGTAACTATTAATATTGAACTACCTGCTTCAACAGGAAGAAGAAATACAGGGCGGTTGGATCTGGTTTAAAATAAAACCGGCCGCTGAATTATTTTGTCAAACGTGGTTTGAAAAAAGAAGGGGCAGCCACATTAATAAATGCAGGGGCCTATTTTTCTTTTTTGGGTGCCACGGGGAGGAGACGTGAGAGCGCAGGGGGAAGACTAGAGCGCACTCCTGGCGTGCAAATTCAAACTCCAACACGGAGCCATGTGTTGGTGACGTGGAACGGGACCCACTAGTCCCCAATTGTCTGCTGCCTAACCGCGTTCTCGCGAGTCGCGAGTCCCCTAACCTCAACTCACCTCACTCTCTTCTCAGCACCCTACTCCACATTTATAAAATATTAATATTGCATTACCAAAACAACATTTTTTTTTTGGCCAACCAAAACAACAAATATTTCAGACACCTGTGCATTGAATTCAATATTTATATTCAGCTATAAAATTTTCAGTACTCATATTATTCTTTTAAAATTTTATACGTGCATTATTTAAATATCAAACTGAATAAACATTGGGCTGTTCAATTTCTTAAAATATCTATTAAAAAACTAAACAGTAAAAATATATTTTATTGATGGTTGCTCAGTTGATTCTCATTTCACACTGGTACTTTAAAGGGCACAAAGTCCAGAACATTCCAGAGCGAGCACGCAACCTTATTTTCAAACGAGCCATATAATATTACTACATCATACATGCACGGATGGATGGAAGGACGCAGCAGCATGATGATGGGATGCCCATAATAAATGGGCGATGCATTGCATACATGCATGACATGGAAGGAGCCGACATATACAAATGCCCTAAATCGGTTTGCAAAGTCAGGGCTGAGTCATAAAATGCGACCCCTTTCGCGACTCGCCTCCCTCCCCCAAGGGCCCCACACGAGAATTCCCCTTTTGTCTCTCTCTAAAAATGCCGTTTTCAGTATCTCCTTTTCAATATGTATCATTATCTCCACTTTATATTTATTATTGTCAGCTAACTTTCCAGATCAAAACTTAAAAAAAGAAGGAAAAAAAATTCTTTATATGTATAATATAACTCGTGCTTTCTGATCGCTGTAATTTAAATTCCAATGATGTGCATAATTTTAAAATGTGATTATACTTAGGTATCATCGATTTTATATGGAGCAATGATTTTGCATAAATTAATATTTTATGTTATGTATCTTAATTCTTATTAAAATCCAGATCACTGATCTGGCGACTAATGATCCAGATACAGTCGTGTGTATATATGAGTATATTTAAGACTGTAACACTTACATTCAATGAGCTAACAACCCTTTTTAATCTACTGTGGGGCATATTATTGTTAATTATATGATTTAAAAAATAAAGAATGAAAAGATACCTGAACCGGAAGGGCCTGTCATGGCCCAGCAAAAAGCCGGATGGGCCCAGTGTGCTGTGCTGATATGGTGGGGTTAGGCACAGGATAACCACGGATCTCGGTTCGAAACGTGGGAACGCAGTACTCCAAGGGGCCAGGGGGCCGTCCGTATGGATCCTTGCAAGCTCCCGAATCGGATTAGTTTGGGGACGTTGTCACGGCTGAAAGACACCTATTTCCCTGGGATACCGGATGGAGTAATCCAAAAAAAAAAAAAAGGGTCATCCACCGCATTTATTTAGCGTCTACTTATGAGTTATGATTCCATTTTCACTCTCGACGATGCACGGTTTTGATCGTCGTTTCAAGTATGGGAATTATTAGTTTAACTATGTAGCTTGATAGTTGTAGACATAATGCCATAATAATGTATTCGATCCTATTACAATTCAATGAATGTAATCATTTCGGTAATGAAGTTATAAAGTATAAATATATATAAATTCACCCCCCCAAAATGACATTGTCACTGTATGTACACGTAGTATTTCAAAAGTTAATTCCTTGATTTTTTTTCTTAATATTGTATAAAAATCAGAGCAGAAAATATACAAAGCAAATGTGTATGTCATGAATCATGATCAAAAGAAGCCCAGGCACGAGGCGATCATTCATTAAATTATAGAAAATTGAAGGTAATGATCTCACGTGTTAAAATGGAGTTTTTTCCCCTCCCATTTATTAATTACCAGTGAACCCACAACCCCGTCTCTCAATTTCAAATTTCGACCCACTAGCTTTTTTGGCGATTTTTTTTAATTATTTATTTAACTCTCGTGATGGTTTCGTTGAGCGAGCTATGACCACATGTGCATGATTTGATTTGGCCACATGGCTCAAGGCTTTTTTTTCCTTTTTCCTAGTGGGTCAAAGGCAGATGGGTGGATTTAATCCCTGCAGTTGAAATTCCATTTCTTGATTGGGCCTTAATTAATTAAGAGATAATAATTATTGAATGGGAATTTAATGATGTTGAGGAAGGAGTCATAACTTTTTCTTTGGGGAAAAAAAGTCTCTATCTTAACATCACTAACCCACGATGTGATGGATATTATTTCCCAACTGAAAAATTTAAAGAAGTGTTCAGATATCATTAAAAGTGATTTTTAAAAGTATTTTTTATAAATCGAGATAAATTTTTTACATATTTATTTCGTATACTGCAAAATTACTTTTAAAACTATAATTTAATTTCCATCCAAACCCTCCCTAAATCTAGGGATGAAATTGATAAACACTCTTTATCAGAATTCAGAACCAACTTCTTAGGTGAATAATTAATTCTGAATAAAAGAAAAACCGGGATGACCACGGACTTGATTGATTGGTTAATGAATTTTTTACAGAAGATAATTTTTTAAAGCAGAGGTTTTGTTTGTTTTGCCAACCTTTTACGCAGAGATTGCAGATACGCATATTCTGATTAAAAAATAGCAACCGCTGATAATCACTTTCGAGATTAACGTTCTAGATCATAGGATGGTGGCCCTGGCATCCATGTGGATGAAGCGATGACGAAAGAGCTGACGTGGAGCGCAACCGCTGAACAGTTAGACGTGACTCAGACACGACCCACGAGGGAGCTCGTCTGTTTGTGGTGGTTGATGATGGGGTTGGTGTGGCACCCCCGTGACCCCACGCTGTCATCTCAGCCTGAAAATGCGAGGCTTAGTGTATTGGCCATTGAAGGCAGCCTCGCTCGGGGGTGACATGTGACATGGAGCTTCCAGGAACTTTCATGCAATAATCTATGGTGGAATATTTTTCAGCAGGATTTTAAAAAAAAAGTAATTAAAAATATGGTGGAATATCTATCAATCCCCCACACCCTTTTAAAGGTGTCAAATTCGGCTATAATGACATTAATGGCTTTGATGACCCTTTTCTTTTTTAAATGCTGATTATTGTGGGATATTATCTAAAAGTCCCTGCCCAATTGCGTATGTTTCAGCTAAGCGTCACTAATTTGTTAAGTGCATTTCATTATCTGGGTAATTGTCATTTCATCTAACAACGCTTGTGATGCACGATACTTCGTGATAAGAAATTAAAAAAAAAAAAAATCAAAGATTTCATCGAAATATCTCCGGTGTGGTAGAAATTTCAGACAAGACCATACCATTAATTCTTTGTCTATCGTCAATGATTTCATCAGCTCTGAGCCAATTGGATCAGCTAGCTCGATATCTACCCAGGTGTTCAAGTGTTTAATATCTTTCGCGTGAATTGTGAATGGGCTTCTGGAAAAATGACAAGCCTTAGATCATATCAGTGGTATAATTACTAGCTAGTATCTTTATTTTCATTTTTAATTATTCAGTCTTTATGGACATGACTAGGATTTTTCTAGTTAACAAAAGACCAACATAATACGCCATTGACTTTTGCAAGCCGTTTTGACATTGCAGATCTAAGTGTCTCGTAAAATCCTCTTCAGCAACAGAGTTTCAAACCTGTAATTACTTCTATTATTGATATCTAACGAGTAGCAGAGAGCCATGCATCCTTGGATTATTGGATTATATTGGGAATTTGTGTGTCCTTAGTTATATTACGCACGCACACATTGATCAGTTCAATCCAATGCAAAATAACAGAGTGGTGTTCTACTGCTTGCCTTTCCAGCCAGAAAGACAAAAAAATATTTGATTATATTGTTACTTACACTCATGAAAAGTAAGAGCATGTGGATATACATATAGTGCCAGCT